GAAGCCTTGACTCTCCCCAAACCACATTACTCCATTTAGCACCAACCAGCCATACACTCTTACAGACACAGGACTGAAACACCCAAAGCCTGGGCTATCATTCACTCTTTTCCCAGGAATCCAACTTTATTTCTCCAGTTAAACCATGAGTGTTCTAAGAATAGGAAACCTTATTCACCTGTCACTCTCCCACAAGTACTAACATAACTCCCCGAACACAAGTAGGTGCTCAATGAGATCTTTTTTTTCACCAGTAGTTATTACTAATTGATTTAACTGTTATTATTTCTAAGAATATTCAATACATGCCCATAGGGTTTCTCTTACTGTGTTAATATTTTTCAAGTTTATTATCATCTCCTTTCAGAAATTCATACCTGCTATTTACTTTTCTTGCCTTAATGCATTGGCTAGCATTTTCAGAACAGTGTCTGTCAGGCATCCCTATCATATTCCTGACCTTAATGAGAATATTTCTAATGTTTCACCAGTAAGTATGAAATTGGCTATAGGTGTTTTGATACATGTGAATGAAGGAAATATCCTTTCATTCTTAGTTCACTTAGGCATTCCACGAAGTCAAGCATTCCTCTATAAGGTAAACAATGACTCTTCACACATTGTCACTGGTTTCTTTTTCCTTTAGTCACTCAGGATCTCCTAACACCAATTTGCTAGTTGAGATGCCCAATTCTTCAAACAGCTCAGGAGCACTGTTTTACTTATATTGAATTCTGAATGGTTATTCTTCAATACCCACTTTAGCCCACTTATCTCTTGGGACAGATAAATCCTGAATTTTTTNCTTTCTCTGAGAAGCAGTGTCTCCTGGTGAGTACAGCCAAATATCTTTTTACTTCAGCGTGTTTGTTTGTTTGTTTTTTGCATATCAGTCCAATTTCTTCTCATTCCACTATGAATTCTCACCCCGCCTTAATTCATCTTGATTTCTTTTCATCTAACCTGATTTCTTTTCATTCCTTCCTGCTTTATCTTCTCTAATCCCAACTTCTTAGTACCCCAGGCTCATTTCTTCTTCTTTCCCTCCCCCCCACTCCATCTTCATGTGGTCTCTTTCCAAAATTGGAAGTCCCCATTGATTTTATGGGATTTTTGCAGACTCTCCCACACTCTCACAATCACCAACAGCATCACATAAGCACACTTGTAGTTACTCACATGTGCCTATACACAGTACACCAATCTTACAGAGTAACTCAGCTCACTCCTATAAACACATCTTATCTACATTATTAGTCTCCTGGGCTGAGGACTAGGATAGGGGCTATGAGACTAGGGGTCTCCAAACTTGGCTAAGCACACTTGCTTTAAAAAAAAAAAAAAAAAAAGTCACGCCCAGAACCTATCCAAAATCTTCAAAACTGGAGTCTCCAGAGGTGAAATCCAACAATCTGCACTTTAATAGCTTCTCCAGGTGAGATTAATAAAACCAGCCCAGTCTAATACAGCTGGTTAAGAGACCAGCACTTGGAAAGCATGAATACCTGCTCACTCTGGGGTAACAGAGGTCCCAGGAAATGCTTTGTGAA